ACGATCAGCCCCCCAGGAAAGTAGAAAGGGGTTTTAAGAAGGTTTAGCCGGCTGTGACAAGTTGCTTCAGAGAGGAAATGTGAGGTTTCCAGGAAAACCCTAGGTAAAAGAGAAGGCCTAGAAATCTACTATCACTTCGGGGTAGGGGACCCAAGAGATACAAAGGAGATCGGAGAAAACAGAGCGTTGTAAAAGTAATTTGGCGAGTTTTGGTACTTGAAAATTTAAACCCATGCGTGGGGGCCCCAAGTGGAAACACGGTCGACCGCATGCGGAGGGGGAAAACGCAATAAGATGACAGTCAGCCCCCTCACAACAATAGCAAATTCATCAACATAGAGTGATGCCCAAAAAATTGGGGGGAAAAAACAGGGGGAAAATCATTTATAGCAAGGGGGAAAAGTGTTGTGCTTGAACACCCCTGAGGGAAACCTTTCAGCTTGGACGAAGCCCGGGGAAAGAACATTATTGGCTCGAACACAAATTTTGTCATTTAAAAAAAGTTTTTAAAGGGAAAAGGATGGTAGATTCCCTTGGGGGCCAAGGAATGGGCCCGGGGCCAAAATATTGTACCCCCAAAGTTGTTCAATTGCCTTCTCAAAGGTCAAAAAATATGGCAAAAAACTGAGTGATTATTCGCAAAGGCATTACAAACATGTTCCAAGCGAGTAAGGGGGTCTAGGTAAAATGACCCTTACAAAACCCATATTGACTAGGGAGAGACGTTTGTGTCTCTAAATACCACATTAAACGTCGTTTAGAGACTTCCATCACTTTGAAAACGCACTAGAAAGGGGGCGATGGGACGATGGGGGAGGCATCATGTCCGTGTACCTGGTTTGCGGAAAGGGGAACAATGGCAAAATTTCCCCAGCTGGGAAAACCCCTTTCCCCCCAAATAAGTTTTGGGGGTGTAAGAGGACTAAAAGGGCTGACCGATGTAAAGTTGTAACTACGAATAGAATGTCGTAGGCCCAGCTCCCGATGTGGGCAAGCTGGAGCGTTGCCTCAAATTTCTTGAAGTGTAAAAGGGCCATTATACTGTTCTTCTCTGGGGGAAAAAAGTCAAAGGGGACAACCTCTGGCAGACTTTTAGGAAAGAAAGAGGGGCATAGTGGAGCCCGGAAATACGGACCCAATTTTTTTGGGGGTTCAATCAACCAGGGGGCCCCATAAAAGGACCCGAAAAAAAACCCTCAAATTTTCCAAAATTTCCCTAAAATTTTTTTGTAAAATTAAAAAAAGGGTAGGTAAAAGCCGCCCCAAGGGTTTGCTTAAAAGGTCACGGCAGGGGCCCCTCCTTTTTTTTCAAAAAGTCTCCAAAAAACCGGACCCCCCGGCCGTTTAAATTTTAAGAAAGCGGAACCAAGGGGATTTGGTCCTGCCATTTTGGGGGAAAAAGAAACCCCGGGAAAAAGAGTTAGAAGATTTAATGCCCACAATGGGGGGAAGAAGGAATGGGGAAGAGGAGGGTAGAGATAAATTTTCCCGATAAAGCCAGGAGGGCTACAGAAGTTGGGGAATGGAAAGGGGGAAAAAAATTGGGAAATGAGTGTCGGTAAAAGGGAAAAACCGGTAACAGGGGGAGGGAAAAGCTATAATATGCGGAGGGGTATAAACCAAAGGGGGAAAAAGGGGAAAAAAATTAAAAATGGGGGGGGTGAGACAGAAAGGTAACGGATGAGTAAAAAAAAGAAAGAAACCCCCCCCCCCAAGGGGAAAAAATGGGGCAAAAATACCCAATAAAAGTGGGGTGGAAATGAAAAAGAAGGAAATTATAAAAATCTTGAGAAGGAAAGGGGAAAAAAAACAATTGTAAAACCCTTTTTAAAGGGAAAACAGCTTTTGCAAGGGGTTTTACAAAAATTTTTCCCAAAAATTTTTGTAAAACCCCTTTCTTTTGGGCCCCGGAAAAGTCCCGAAAAATCAAAAATTCGGGGGACCCCCGCTAAATCAAAAAAAATTTTTCCCTACCGTTTTTTTTTTGAAAAATTTTTCCTCCCAAAAACTTAAAAAAAAAAAAAAAAAAAACCAAAATTTTGGGCGGAAAGGAAGGGGCCAGCGGGGGAAAAAAATTTCCCCTAATTGTTTCCCCCTCCCTGTAAACTCCGCTTTAAAAATTTTTTTTTTATTACATTTTTGGGGCTTTTTCGGAAATTGCCGGCCCCCCAAAAATCAGTGCCAACCCCCGAAAAGGGGGGAAAATTTTAAAAGGAAAAAATCTTGAAAAAAAAAGTGGGGGCTTCCCAGGGCCCGGGAAATCCAAAAATCATAATTTGGGGGAGGGTGGTTGGATTAGTGTGCTCTGTGTAGCCTTTGGGGGTTTAAAAAAAACCAGAAAAAAAACCCCAAAGGGTTTTTCCACCCCAGGAAAAACCCCAAAAAAGTGTCATTTAAACGTTAACTTTTTTCCCTTGGGGCCTTTAAATTTTCCCCCTGCAACCCCCACATCCTTTCCCCCGTGAAAGGGGGGAAAAAAATTTTTTCAAAATTTTTGGGATTTGCCAAAATTTTTTAAAATTTTTTGGGAAAAACTTTCACATTATAAAACCTTTTTGGGAGAAAAAAAAAGGGTCGAAAGGGAAAAACCTAAAAAGGGAAATTTTGTTGCATCCCAAAAGGAATGAAAACCCTTTTAAAACTTTCCCGAAAAAGGGGAAATTTCTAAATTATATTGGTGCCCCGGTTTTGGGGGGAAAAAGTAAATTTTATGGGGGGGTTTTTAAAAATTTTTTTTTTTTTGGGGGGTTCCAGGATAAAATTGACTTTTTTTGGGGGAAAAAAAAAAGGGAATTTTCCCTTAAAAATTTTTTGAAAATTAAAAAGTTAAGGGGTCCATTAAGTGAGAAATTTTTGGGAAAAAGGAGGAAATTTTTTTTTTGAAAAAAACCCGGGGGGAAAAAAAAATTAAAAAATTTAAGGGGGGGATTACCCGAGGGCCCCGGAAATCCCCAAAAGGAATTTGGGGAAGGGCCAAACCCCCCCCCCCCCCCCCCCCCCCCCCCCCCCCCCCCCCCCCCCCCCGGGGGGGGAGGGGGGGGAAAAAGGGGGGGGGGGGGGGGGGGGGGGGGAAAAAGGGGGTAGTTTTTAAAAGGGGCGTTTAAATTTTTTTTTGGGGTTCAAGTGTTTCGAAAAAGTGTGGGGAAATTTGGGGAAAGGGAGGAGGGGGGAAGATTGGAAAAAGGGCTGAAAGTAGGGGGGAGGAAAAAGGTTTTGGGGGGAAGAATGGGGGGGGGGGGGCAGGAGGGGAAAAAGGGAGGGCAGAAAAGGGAGAAATTTGGGGGGGAGGGGGGGGGGAAAAAGTAAGGAAGGGGGGGTTTTCCACATTTTAATGGCCAGGGAAAGGGGAAAAATGGTTTGAGGAAGGGGAAAATAAAATGGGGGGAAAAGGAAGGGGAAAGGGGGGAAAAATTTGGGCAATTTGGTTTTTGGGTTTTAGAAGGGGGGGGCGATTGGATTGGGTTGTCGATTTTCCTGGGGCGGGAGGAAAAAGTGGGAAAAAATTTTTGGGGCTTGACCAAGGCGCAAAAATTAGATGGAGGGTTTGGGGGGGGTAAAAAAGGAAAGGGGAAAAGGGGGGCCCGGGGGGGGGGGTTTGGAAAAGAGGGGAAAACCGGGGTGTTTTAAGGAATTTAGTAAATGATCTTTGGGGAAATTTTGTCGAGAAGGGTTTCACTTCAAAGGAGAAATGGCCCCGGGGGGATCGAAGGGGGTTTATTAAAAAAGGGATTGGGGGACTGCCGGGAAAGTCTGGCAAAAAAGGGGGGGGGGGGGGGGGGGGGGGGGGGGGGGGGGGGGGGGGGGGGGGGGGGGGGGGGGGGGGGGGGGGGGGGGGGGGGCCCCTTCCCAAAAAAACGAGACTTTCAAAAGTCCCGCCCCCGGGAGGGAAAGGTAAGTTTATTTAGGATTGGGGACCCGGGGTTTGTTCAAAATTCTTTTCCCCCCTGAGAAAATTTGGGACATTATGGGGAGAATGAAACCCCTAAAATTAGGGAAAGGGTTTTTTTATTGGATGAAAGGGGAAAAAATGGGGTAGAGGGGGGGGACGGGGGCGTTTAGGAAAAAAGAAAAATCAAACCACTGAGCGGAGGGCCCACGGTCAGAAAAGGAGGGGAAAAAAAGGGGTTTAAAAAAAAGAATTTTGTTTGGGGGGCCCCCTAGGGGGAGGGGGTGTTCATGGTTGGTTTTTTCCTGGGAAGGAAAAAAGGAAAAGAAGATTTTTAAAAAAAAGGGGGGGGGGTTCGGGGATTAAAGCCAACCTAAGGGGAAAGGGGCTAGCAAGGGAGCGGAGTTGAAAAAAGGAGGTCAGTCGAAAAGGCCCCCCCTCCTGGGGTAAAAAAAAACAGGTACAGGGGGGTGGGTTCCGAAATTTTAAAACCGCCCGGCTTGGGGGAAAAACCCCCCCGGGGGGGGGGGGTTATGGAGGGTTCTCCTTTTTGGACCCCCGTTTTTTTTTTTGAAAAAAAAAAAAAAGGGAAAAAAAAAAAAAAAAAAAAAAAAAAGGGGGGACGGGGAAAATTTTTCCCAGGTGAAAGGGCCGGGAAAACCCCCCAGCCCAAGGGGTGCCCCCCCCCTTCCCCCCTGAAGGAAAAACCCCAAAACCCAAACCCCAAAAAAGGGAAAAAAGTGGGGGGGAAAAAGGGGGAAAAAATGGGAAAAGAGGGGGGGGGAAAAATCCCCCCCCCCCAAAAAAATTTTTTTCCTTTGGCCCCCCCCCCCCAACCCCAAAAAGGCCCAAACACCCCCCCAAAAATAAAATACTTTTAAAAAACTTTCCAAAAAAACCCCAGGGACCAGATTCCCGGCAAACCTTCCCCCCAACCCCCAAAAAGGGATGGACCCCTTTTCCCTTTCCCCTATAAAAACTCACCCTTAAAATAAAGGCCCAAAAAGGGGGGAAACAAAAAAGGGGGGGGGGGGGGAAAAGGAAATGGAAAAAAAATTTTAAGGGGGGGAAAAGGGGGGTTTAGGCGGCTAAATTTTGCTGAAAAAATTTGCCGAAAGTCGATGCTGCCGAAACTTGGGGGTCCACTGTACTTAAGTTCTGGGAGAGGTCTGACCAATCAGCAAGTCAGAGACACAAAATAAAATCCATATTCATTGTGCTGCAACCAATGAAGGTATGACTCACAAAATCGTAATGACACGATTGCAACCAAACCATACCACGGGCGGGGATAGAACCCGCAATCAGTCTCAAAATGAAGGTATGACACTGGAACTGTACTGTTCTCCATATAACATACACAACATAATCCTCTACGGCAATTTTTCCCAAAGAAAATAGGTTAAAAACAATGACATACACTTAGTAGTCTGATATTTTCCTTTCCTTCCTTCTAGTGAAGAGGTCTCCCACACAAATTTAGCAAATTATTGGCAAGGACAGAAACTACCCTAAATATAAACCTAAATCAAATTACCAGAAAGCTGCCTGATGTCAGAGATTTGAAAACTTGGCAACTTCACAGAATACAGTGTGATTATGATTATTTGCAGAAACAGATTACAGTTTGATACATTTGGATTTTGAAAGGATACTGGAATATCACTGATTTGGCTATAATTATGGATGATGAACAAATCCTCAAGGGCTGTCATTTGGTACAGAACTTTTTGTTTAGCTTAAAAAATATGTTGAAGATGCATGGATAAGAATGGATGGATGCAAGACCTACCAAGCATGGTCCAGTAGGTCTACTGTTGATAAAACAAGCCTGACCAGGAAATCTAGAAATTAGTTTGAAGATAGTAATGCATCTGTACAATGGTTCTGAAGCATATACATAGCATATTTCTAATGAATACCAGCTACCTCACTGACATTATCAAGTCAGTGATTGGTCAGATGTCTAAAATATTTTCCTACAGATTTAAATGCACTATATAAAAATTTAGCAAAATTATCAGCAGGTATAAACCTATAATGTAACCTTACCTAAAATAAACCTAAATCATGTTGGGTCACTTGTGGCTTAGTTGATAGCATCCTCAGGTCACTGCTCCCCAGCACATGGGAAATAATAATTTCTACAAGTACATGTAAGTTTATTCAGGTATACACAAATACAAGGTATACAGGTCTAGCTGACATCAATGACATACTACTATACAGAAAGCACCTTACTATGTAAAGCAATTCAGGCAAATTAGGTTAATTTTGTCCCAGGATGCAACCCACACCAGTCGACTAACACCCAGGTATCTACTTACTGCTAGGTGAACAGGGGCAGCAGGTGTCTTAAGGAAACACATCCTAATGTTTCCACCTGTACTAGGGTTCAAACCACGAACTTCGATGTGTTAGCCGAGTGCACTAGCTATAGAGCATGTTTCCTTACACCTGCTGCTCCTGTTAACCTAGCAATAAGTAGGTACAGTGGACCCCCGCATAGCGAACGCCTTGCATAGCGAACATTCCGCATAGCGAACGCTTTGATCGCTAAAATTTTGCCCCGCATAGTAGACAAAAACCCGCTCAGCGAACTTCGTCCGAGACGCGTCCAATGTGCAGCCTCAGCCAGCCTCACATGTGCCGCCTGTCCCATTGTTTACCAGCTAGCCTCCGCGGTAACATTCAAGCATACACTCGGAATATTTCGTATTATTACAGTGTTTTCGGTTCTGTTTGTTGAAAATAAGTGACCATGGGCCCCAAGAAAGCTTCTAGTGCCAACCCTGTGGTAAAAAGGGTGAGAATTAGTATGGAAATTAAGAAAGATTTTGAAGGGTTTGGGGCTAACCCTGAGAAGCCTATGCCAGTTGTGGAATCCATTGTGCCTACTTCAAAAATTAAGGAAATGTGTGCACAGTGGTTGAACTGCAACCTTTATGGATGAAAATCACCCTACACAGCTGTTGCAAGGCGTGCTGGTGACTATTTCAATGACAATGTTATGGCCCATTTTAGACAAATCGTAAAGGAACGGGAGGTACAAGCTCTAATGACAGAAAACAGTCCAGATTGACTCTGGAAGCTTGTCCTAGATTAGCATTAAAAGATAGAAGGAAGTAACCCGGAAAAGACCTATGTCCTACCTCAAATACTTAATAGGGGACTTCGCTTTAAACACTAACAGTCTCTGCTCCCCCACCATCCAATCAATCATCACCAAGATCTTACATATAATAAAGTAAGGTATTAATTGTGCATGCCTTATTCAGCCTTATATGTACAAAAATTAACATTTTTTTTGTGGATAAAAGATAACAAGTTCTATTTACTGCTAGGTGACTGTGGGCAGTGTCTTGAGGAATAATTCTATGATTTCCACCTTTACTAGGGTTCAAACATCGAACTTCGATGGTAGCGAGTGACTAGTTCATAGAGCAGTTTCCTACACCTTGCCATTAAGTTAACTAGCAGAAGGTCTGTACCTGGGTGAGAATATTCAAGGACCCCAAAGGAAACAAGATTGTCCCTCAGTGAAGCATTAACTTTATTGGGTTATCCTGGGTGGCCAAGCCTGCCTCTTAGATAACTCAAGACAGGTAATTTCACTGGATACCTATTATGTAAATTTTATTAAAAACAAGTGCTAAACCAGTATGGGCCATTCAACACGGCTCCATTGTGTGAAAAATATTCAAAATGACAAATTTAAACTTGTGAGCCAACTGCAATGCTGCTCAATTGTTAGGTGAAAATATTACGCAACTTTTATGTACGCTTATTACAGTATTTTGCAGTTATATTATTATTCTAATACTAGTAACTGTATATGAAATGAACAAATTATACTGAAATACCTCCCTAAGCATTCTCTTAGACCAATTCTCAAACCACTGTTATAGTATTAAATAAAGTCCAGAGTATAAAATTTCCACACTTTGAGTGCAGGTACTGGTAAAACATGCACTAACAACAACCAATAACACTAACCTTAACCAGAAGCCTCAAATAAACATCTTGTGACTTGGGCTTCCGCCTGATGACCTTTCGGTCGTGTTTATGGGATATATCCTTACCCTGAAATGAAACAATCAATTAACAACCACGCTCGAGGAACCGCTCTACCATACCGCATCAGAAAATAACCCACAAAGTGAAGGACAAAGGAGATGAAAGAGGATTTTGCGTTGTAAGTGGAGTCAAGCCTCACCATTGCGACCAGAGGTTGTAGAGGAGGAGCTGAGCATTATGGGTAGTGTTGACACCACAACAACACCTACACCTTTACTATCTTATAAATATCACGTTTTAATTGTAATAATAAATTGTAACACTCCTAGAATAATACTTATAATAAAAAGAAGAAGACAGAAAAATTGTTTTAGTAAACGTTTATTGCGTTTGTGGTTATTTATCGCGCAAAATGTTTTGGGTAAGATGTGTACGGAGGAATACAGCCCCAATATATTATATTATATAATAAGAATAAAAAATTATAATTTAATATTGCTTAATGGGACATCACAGATCAATTCTAAATAAGAAGCCTTTACCAACATAATGGAATTACAATTATTATTTTTTATAAAAATAGTAACAAAGAGTTAAATTTGATTACAAAGTAATATGTATGTAATACACATGTGTGTCTTCCTTCAAAACCAAATATAAACTTTGTAAGCTTGAAAAAACATTAGTAAAAAACTTATTTCCTTCCACTAGAAAATAAAAACGAATAAAATTTCACTCGTCAAGGTTTTATTATCATTATTTTGAGACGTATTTGTCACCATAGTCAGTGACGGAGCCAAAAATTTATATATGAGGTGTCATTATATAGATTAGGGAGGCCTGTGTACTCACCTATTTGTGGTTGCAGGGGTCGAATCTTAGCTCCTGGCCCCGCCTCTTCACCGGCTGCTACTGGGTCCTCTCTCTCCCTGCTCCATGAGCTTTATCAAACCTCGTGTATTATATATGAAGTAAGCTAATAAACCATATGAAGAAAATCTTTATTGAAAATGTGTAATAAATTGACATAAATAACAACTAAGTCGGACATAATTAAAATCAAGAATAATAATAATAATAATAATAATAATAATAATAATAATAATAATAATAATAATAATAATAATAATAATAATAATAATAATAATAATAATAATAATAATAATAATAATAATTAATCGCATGTTTTTCAAAGCACTGCAGTTAATGGAAATAAGCCATTTTCTGACTTTTTTGGGTTATCCCAGGTTCTCTACACGTATGCTGCTATGTATGATAATCTATGTAACTGTATTTGTGTATACCTGAATCAACTTACTTACTTACACTAATTATTTTAAGTTTGAATTATCGTGTTCAATGTTCATGTTGAAACACATTTACAACTTGCAACACTCAGTTTACACAGTTTATAGCGTACAATAAATATTCGGATAATCCACTGAACTGCAGTTTAACTGTTTCGGCTGCTGTTTTTTATTTGCAGCATATGTCTCCATTAATTTCGCTAGCATACCGTGTCTATGAACAATCCTCTAGGACTTGGTAGATCTTCAGTCTGAAAGCTGATTAAGGTTCTAATTTGTTCAGGACAGACTGTGTTCCACGGAACTGGACAACCATGATGGGTAGTGAACACAATGTCACAGTTACTGTGCGCTGAATGATGTGAGTATTTCCTCCAATAATAATATGTTTCTACAAGTACATGGTATACAGGCCTAGCTGACATCTATGACATACTACTATATAGAAAGCCCCTTGTTATGCTGAGCATTTCGGGAAAATTAGGTCAGCTTTGTCCCAGGATGTGACCCACACCAGTCGACTAACTCCCAGGTACCCATTTTATTGATGGGTGAATATAGACAACCGGGGTAAAGAAACACGCCCAATGTTTTTTTCCTCATTGGGAATCGAACCCGGACTTCGCCGTGTGAAGCTTTAGCCACCAGGTCACGGGCCACCGCCAGCAATGAGTTTATTAAGACAGTTTTACTAGTGAGCGTCTGTAGCATTTTTCCAGGGTATCTGCTGGCATATTGTTATGTTTGTCAAGCACACTTACTAGGAATACATATTGGATTTAGTTACCCATACACAAAACTTGTTATCCATGTTTTCTCTGGTTTGTTTCACTGGCTCTGGTAAACTGACACAATGTCATCAGTTTTTCCTTGGAGCTTATTACTGAGTCCAACGTTATATCAATATATTTTTTAACAGTTATATTGAACTGAAAGTTTGCAATTGTTGCTAGAAGCGGTGTGGATACTTCATAGGACGTGTCATGACAGAAATTATTTCTGGAAGATATCTCGGACATATATATCTTCCAATACGTATTTTATTACATGTAAGCTGCACATTGTATACTATACGAAGACATACAATTTTTGAATTAATTTAATTTGACATATTGTAACTCACAAAACAGCTCAAAGGTATTATGGTGTTCAGTGAATCTTGTCTGGCAGATATCACAAGGTTTTGATTTTTTGGAATTTAATATTCTTTATTGAAGAATTCAGTCTGGCAAGTTGTGGTTTCTCTCAGAACAAGACAACTCTCTCTCTGCTGTGTCCACCAAATTTCTTATGTTCCAGCACCACTAGCATTAATTCACTTAGCTACAAGAATTTAATATAGAACGGTTTTTTAACCTCGGAATTCTTATGTTTTTGAAGGCTTCATGCTCATCGGTATCGACTCTTATCTTGTAGACTAGCAATCTTAGTCACTCCCCAGGATGCTGGCTAAGTTCAATGGCCGTCGCTTAAGTCTCTCTCCATCCATTTGGTGTGAATACATTGAGATAAATATGAAAACAACACATTACAGCACCACCATCTATTGTTAGTCCCTGGACTTCGTGAAGTCAGTAGTATGCCCAGCAGCAGACGTTAGAAATCTAAGAACTTCTTTATAAATGGCTATGAAGTAAACATGCATTTAAGAAACTGATGGCTTCGATCAGAACATATACTGCAGATTCACTCCCTTAACCGGTGTCGTTTGATATGCTTGTAGTATGTTATTGGATACACTGAGATAAGCCCAGTGATTTCCGTGCTGCTTCACCCTCAGACACCAATGAATTCAAATTCAAATTCAAATTCAAAGTTTATTCTCTATAAGGATTACAATGCTGAGTTTACAGAAATTTGGTTATTGTTTGGTTTACATGTAGTAAAATTGTGATTACAGAGTGTACCACTAGAACGCTTAGCATGGCTAGGCATTTCGGGCATACTTAGTTTTATTCTTAATTGTAAAATATTACAAATTATGAGGTAAGTTGGTATTATGGCTAAGTGACTAAATACTAGTTTATGAGTTTAGCAATGTGAATGCTTTTGTTTTGGCACAGTATATAGTTTCAGTATTGGAGTATCACAGGATTCATTATTTTAAGACTGAGATTAATATTTCTGTTTATGGTCAAATGAGTGAGCGAGTGTAAGTGTGAACCACCAGGTGGTATCCGTGTAGTTAGTTGACGGGGTGTATCAGGGAGATAAGATGTTTTCTAATGGTAGTTTTGAAGGTGATGAATGTGTCTGCAGTTCTAGAGTTCTCAGGTAGGGTATTCCAGATTTTAGGGCCTTTGACATACATTGAATTTTTGTAAAGGTTTAGTCGGACACGGGGAATGTCGTAGAGATGTTTGTGTCTGGTGTTAGGCCTGTGGGTTCTGTCACAACTATCAAGAAAGCGTTTTAGGTCAAGGTTGATATTAGAGTTTAAGGCCCTGTAGATATAGATTGCACAGTAGTAAGTGTGGATGTACTGAACTGGGAGTAAGTTTAGATCTTTGAAGAGTGGGGGGGTGTGCTGCCAGGAATGGGATTTAGTGATTATTCTTACTGCAGCTTTTTGTTGGGTTATTATTGGCTTTAGGTGTGTTGCTGCAGTTGATCCCCAAGCACAAATAGCATAGGTGAGGTATGGATAAATAAGTGAGTGGTATAGTGTGAGAAGGGCATCTTGCGGCACGTAGTATCGTATCTTGGAGAGGATCCCAACCGTTTTGGATACTTTTTTGGCTATATGCTGGATATGGGTGCTGAAATTCAGGTTGTTGTCAAGGTATAAGCCTAGGAATTTTCCCCCATGTTATGAGTGTGTCATTGTGAAGAGGGTCTCTCAGCGCTTGATTATTGTCTCCAGGGTCAGTGAAGATCGGCTTAGCGTACTCTCCTTTCCATGTCTCTGAGATGATAAGGAGAGTACGCTAAGACAAAGAAGACATATCATCTCTCTCAGATGGTATGTCTTCTCTGAGCCTTGAGCAGCTGTACCGTAAGGTTAAGGCGGAGCTAGAGGAGACTAGAAAGGAAATTCAGCAGTTCAGGAGTGCAAGGGTCTTCCCCGAACAAGTAAGAGAAAAACCGGCAGCGTCGATGGTGGAAATCAGCCACAGCGAATGCAAACTGGTGGGAAGGCAAGGGCTGAAGATGAATATGAGGAAGGTCCAGGAGACTTGTGGAGACTGCTGATTCCTTCTTTGTGATGCCTGACGAGTGTGGGGCGGCCATCGAAAACATTACAACGGTGACCGCTAGTGAAGGTAAGGATGTTGTCGGAGATTCCCGGGGTAAATTTATGTACAGGTCTTTTGTTACTAAAGTTTAGAGGAGGAGGCAGAGGCTGTGTTTTCCTGGCGCAAGGATGCAGATACTTGACGGCATCATGATTAAGACACATGTGCAACATTTAGGTATCTTTATTGCCAAGACGTTTCGCCTGCTCAGCAGTCTTCTTCAGTCGAACGCAGAGGTGACTAATATATTGGAGATTTGAGGTGTTCAGTCCTTCAGCCTACATGGCAGGTGTTCAGTTTCGTAGTTTTGTCTCTGATTTAGATAGCAGTTCCTAAGAATGCGAACAGATTAACTGCATTTATATCAAGAGGTGTAATAACATGGAGATGGTTGCTTACATAGGAGTCACCTGAGGTGCAGTACTAGGAAGCATCTTACATTTAACTCTATGCTTTGTATAGTCATTGTTGCTGCTTTTTGTGGACGTAAGACTGGAATATATATTAAGTGTAAGTGAAGAGAAATTATTATTATTATTATTATCACCATAATGACAACCTTCAAAACTAAGGACGCCAAGCCCATGATGATTCTCTTCAAATCGCTTGTGCTCTCTAGGCTGGAATACTGCTGTACACTAACGGCCCCCTTCAAGGCTGGCGACATTGCAGACCTGGAGAGTGTACAAAGAACTTTCACGGCACACATAAGTACGATAAGGCATCTAAAAACTACTGGGAAGGGTTGATCTGTATTCCCTCGAACGCAGGCGAGAGAGATACACGATAATATACACTTGGAAGGTCCTGGAGGGATTGGTACCAAACCTGCACA